TAATGGCGGAGTACTCAAAGAGGTAGAATTCGAAAAACATCAAGTTAAAGAAGGTAGGAAAGAAATAGATATTGAAGTGTTCACAAAATAAGAAATTATCAGAGTTGAATTTGGTGGAGGAATTGAAAATCTTGAAGAAGAAAATAAAATGTTTGAAATTCTATGTGAAACAAAAAAGTTTTGCATGGAATATGTTCAATTGGGTGATCTTATCCTAGAAGGAAATTTGAGGAATTTTCATATAGAATATTTATCAAGTGATGTGACATAGGTGAACATTGAAGCATTTATTTATTTAAATGAGCAAGTCAAAAGTAAATTCAAGAAGTGTAGAAATTTTCAAGTGATCTCTCAAGAATAACATTGGAAATCAGTTTCAAGGTAAGGTGAAGAAAAATACTAGAAGCATGAAGAAGATAAGATACAAAGTTTACAAAATTCAAAGTATTGGAGAAGTTTCATTCAAAACAAATTCCGGCAAAATTGAGAAAATGTTGGAAGTTTATTATGTGCCCGGCTTGAAAGGTAATTTACTTAGCACCGGTCATCTTTTGCGGAAAGGATATGATATTCATTTTCATGATAATGCATGCATCATGACAAAAAACAATCAGCTTGTTGCTAAAATTGGGATGGCGGCTAACAATCTTTTTCCTCTCAAGCTCCAAATTGCTAATATTTCTTGTTTCACTAGTGCTAACAAAGGAGACTCCAAGTTGTGGCATGACAGGTTTGGACACTTAAATTTTGGAAGTTTGAAATTGTTGGCGTCAAAAAAAATGGTGGAAGGGCTGCCTCAAATTGAAAGTATAGATGGAATTTGTGAAGAATGCATGTTTGGGAATTGAAACAATATAGAGATCCATTTCCTTCACAATCCTTGTGGCGTGCAAAGCATCCATTGAAGCTTGTTCATACGGACTTGTGTGGTCCATTGCCGATTCCATCTTTTGGAGGTAATAGATATTTTCTCATATTTATTGATGACTTCACTAGAAAAAATTGGGTATATCTTCTCAAAGAAAAATCTCAATCATTTCAAGCTTTCAAAGATTTCAAGGCCCAAGTGGAAAAATATTCCGGTTTTCCAATTAAAACATTAAGAAGTGATCAAGGGCGTGAATATCTTTCCAATGAATTTAAGAGGTTGTGTAGAGATATTGGCATACGGCATGAGTTAACAGTTAGACGCACACCACAATAAAATGGTATGAGTGAAAGGAAAAATAGAACGGTCATGGAAATGGCAAGATGCATACTTAAAAAGAAAAAATTGCCATCAGAATTTTGGGCGGAAGCAGTCTCTTATGCTGTTTATTTGATCAACAGATCTCCCACAAAAATTTTGAAGAATCGTACACCTCATGAAGCATGGTATGGAAGAAAGCCTAGTGTTCAACACTTGAAGATTTTTGGAAGTGTTGTTTATGCACATATTCCGGATGTGATGAGAAATAAGCTTGATAATAAGGCTGAAAAATGCATTTTTATTGGGTATAGTGAAAGGTTCAAAGCCTATAAGCTATACAATCCAAAAACAAAGAAATTTGTGATTAGTAGAGATGTAAAATTTGATGAAAATGCTTCTTTTCTTGATTCAAAAACAGGTGGTTCTTCAAATGCAACAATTTTTGATGATTTTCAAGGTATGGAAATTAATGGTGATTTGTCTTCAACATGTCCCTCATCAAGTGAAGGATCCTCTCAAGGCCCTCCATCTTCTCATGGGAGGAAGACAAGAAGCTTGCAAGAACTCTATGAATCTACCAATGAAGTGAATCAAGACAACCCTGTCTTTTTTGCTTTCTTTGCAGGGGAAGATCCAATCCCTTATGAATTGCAAAGAAGAAAAGTGGAAGAAAGCAACGAATGAACAAAACACCTCTTGGTAGAAACATTTCTCAACATAAACTTTGCAAAGTTGGGAATAAAAAACAAATTTGGTTTAGGGGAGACATTGTTGGAAGATTAAACCAAATGTTGAAAATAAACTAAATACATGAACCAACTCAAGTGTTGAATACATGCACCATCATTGGGAGATGAAACACTTGTGTTAAACTTTATTTCATTTATCTGTATCTTTCTAGACTCATGTATTGATGCCTATAAATATATGTTCTTAAGTTCTTTTGCAAGTAAGAAGTGAGAAAAAAATATATCAGAATTTGAGAGTTTTATAAATTGTGTGTTCTCCTTCATATTGAGTGCTAGCTTCCTACAATTTTAATTTTTTTTTGGTAATATTAAAATAAGTGAAAATCGAAAAAAGAAGCAAGTAAAACTTATTCACCTCCTCTAAGCTATACATGAAATGAACTTTTCTTTTTTCACATTTCAAAAAAACCTGGAATTTTTTATTTTTTAAAAAAAAATCATCACGCGTATAACAAAACCTTCCTGTGAGTTCATTCTATTTTATCACACTTAAGGGTGATTTGATTCATTTTTTTATCATTCTCGGTTAGATTACGATTCCATTAATATGAAATCATTTGTAAACGGTTACATGCGGATTTGAGCTTTTGCTAGACCAAATTGTACTCAACCAAACTATTATACAAATTATATATTTTATACAATATAAATAATAAAATAATAAGATTATTTTTTTAACCACTCAACTAATAAAATATTTTATTATAATAGATTATTATATGTAATACATATTTAATTAATTATATATATTAAATTGAATTATAAAAAAGACTAGAACCATGGAACTAAATCGGATCAAACCATTTTCTTAGAATTGGATTCTATCGGTTTCACGATTTGGTTCAGTTCCAATTTTTATGAAACCGTTAAGATTAATTTGGTTCAAAAATATTTTAAAACAGATTCAATCTGAATTATTTGAACCCCTAATCACCCTACTTAAATTTTGTAAATCAAATAAATTTCATACGTTGGGATTTCGTTTCAAGTGGTATGCTTCTAGTCCCATAAGAACAAAAAATGCTTGCATGTGGTATTTGTTAGATTTTTTTATTATTTAAAAAAAAAAAAAAGAAAAAGAAAAATCCCTTTCCATTTACCTCTTCCTTCTACAAAACATTGGGAGCATAAATTTCATTCCGACAAGGAAACTCTGCACATCCATTTGTCCCTGAGGTACATTTAATTTGGCGAAGCATAGAAAATTTTAACTACTTAAATTTTCAATGCTAATTGTAAATCAATAATTTTTTATTTTTATTTTTATTTTTTTTTTTTTTTTTTTTTTTTTTTTTTTTGTGTTTGAGGTGTAATTTGTAACTATTAGTGTTCCTTCATTGAAAAATGGTTGGCCCGGAAAATGAAGAGCCCCACTAAGCAAAGAGCTTATACCATCTAGAAAGTGTCCATCAATGATTTGTAAGAGATTTTTTACACTATTTCGCTACTAGAATAGCATAAATAATGTAACTGACCAACAATTACATATTTTGAATAGAATATCATGTAATAAATTATTGGGCACTAATCTAAATGGTATAAGCTCTCCTCTCCAAACGAATCACTGTGTCTAACATATTTTTGTCATGAACTCTATTATTAATTAAGCAAACCATGTCATGTTAGCCACAAACATATGGACCAAGGTATCTAGAATTAAATAAGCAACATATATCTCACACCAGTTATACGTTAGGGTTTCAGATGAACTGTTTTATCTACTTTCAAAATTTCCCAAGCTTGAATACTTGAATAGATCTTAAACTTTGAAATTGTGTTGTACATTAAAAAAGGTTATAGGTATAGCCATAAATGTGACAATTTACATTCTCACTTTCTCTTCATGCTAGGCTTTCTAGATTTTGGAAGATGGGACTGAAGTGAGTTCTTCCGTTATGTATAGAGAGAGAGAGACATCTGCTTGCTAACTTGTTGAAATTAATGCTTGATAGAGGATGTAGTCTATTTAATACTCAACCATCAAACTTTATATATATATATATATATATATATATATATATATATATATATATTTTAAAGGTTCCATCAAACTTTATATCAACAAAATATAACAATAATAACAACAATAGCTATTTGTATAATTATGTTAATAGCTACTTGAATAACTTTATACCAACAACAAATAACAATAATAACACCAATAGCTATGTGTATAATTATGTTAATAGCTACTTGAATAACAATGGCTACTTCTTTGTAGATAACTCCCTCCTTTTCAATCAAATATCACTAAGGGAAACTTACCCACAAAAAAAAAAAAAAAAAAAAAAAATCAAAGAGTAGAGGGTTGTTTGATAACCCAATTTAACATATGGGTAAAATCTTAAATGACGGTAACTTTACTTATTATTAAAAGATTGAACATGTAAAATTTAAAAAAATATCGAAAACACTTTTTAGTTCTTATAATTTTTAAATAAATATTTTCACTATTATCAAGAACACTTAAGTTTAATTAGGAAAAAGTATACAATACTTCAAAGTATTTTGACACGTTATCAATTTCACCTAAAAAAAACTCTCTATTTACATTCTCCTATCACGAGAGTGCTCTCACCTTGAACTCCTCACTTCATTATCATGATCGCGAGTGCACCATATCTCATGAATAATGAATGATAACTTTTTTCCCATATCAAAATGTTAATAGTACAGCAATACACCAAAGCAAGTAAGCTAGTAATATTTTCTTACTTTTCAAAATAGAAGAGACTAAGGATTCAAGTATCGTGTGTGTTTTGTATTATGTTGTATTAGATATTGTTTATCTGAATTCTTAAATTGTGAGAATATCAATTCTTTTACTATTTTGATATTCCTTTTATCGTTGTGAGAAAATAAATTCTTGGGTCAGTGTGTTTGGTTTTGCTATATCAGACTTGCTTCTGGCCATTTATGCACTCTAATCAACCGGTTCACACTTCACACCTATCCAATACCCAAACAAATAATAATAATAATAATATCCAAAATAAAACAAAAACTAGAGAAAAAGGAAGGCAAGAATGGTCCTTGAGAAGCCAAAAGCCACTCTCATGCACGAGACATCAAAGTTTTTGGCCTTGTCAGTGTTCACTCATAGATTTGTCAGTCCCAATTGTCCATAAATCAGACCACCGTTGATGGGTCCCACCATACCCTCTCTCACCACCCCACATAGAACCACCCTCCTCCTCTTCCACTATTTCACACTCTCCTCCTCCTGTATCTCTTCTTCCTCACCGTCTCTCCAAGGTGCTCACTCCAACCTCCCTCCTCTTTTTTTGTTTCCCTGCTAACCCTACACCTAGCTCAAATCACCACCTTTTTCTCATGGAGAAGATAGAGAGAGAGACTCATGACTTCATGAACGTCCACTCCTTCTCTCAATTGCCCTTCATTCGTCCAGCACCGGCCAAAGAAAAGGGCATTAGGCTTTTCGGCATAGAATTTGGTGGCGATGGAGCACACAACGACACATCTGAGTCAGCCGAGACTAACATGTCCGAGGAAGCCAAGGACACAGATAAAGTAGAGAGTAACCGGAAATTCGAGTGTCATTATTGCTGCAGAAACTTCCCCACCTCTCAAGCCCTCGGAGGCCACCAAAACGCGCACAAGAGGGAGCGTCAGCACGCAAAACGCGCACACCTTCATGCTGCCATGGCACACGGTGGTGGTGGTGGTCTCACCCCGGAGGCTCACATTTATGGGCTCATGAATTATCATCGCATTGGCTCGGCTCCAATGCCACCTATGACCTACCACTCACTCAACAGTATCAACACCACCAACCCTTGTGTTACTAACACTAGGTTTTATGGAAGCCAACCCTCATCCTCTCAACCATTGACCATTAACGGGAGTCCCATGGCGATGTGGCGAATCCCAGCCGTCCAAAACTTGCCTACTTTCAATCATGACCGTTCAGTGCATCCGCTGCAACATGAATTGAAGCTGCCATCGATGACGATAGGGAGCTCGAGTAGTTCACAGAGGCGGTATGTGTACGAATCAAAGCCGAGCATGCCAGATCATGTGAGTTTGGATCTTCATCTATAACAATTTGATTATTTTTTAGGAAGGGAGGGAGTTATATTCAATCTCTCATGGAGGCCATCTATTTCGATAATTTGTCACAATCATTTAGTTTGAATTACCATCTAAATTAGTAAATGATTTCAGTACAAAACAATTCTACAATGTGCTTGAATGCGAAATAACAGTACTGTAAATTAATTTGTATGCGTATACCTATATATATAACTTAGAACATAAGCCCCTTGTCTCTATATCTATGTATATAACACAAACCAAACTTTATTGCAAGATCATGAAGTTTGTGCCTTCATCTCTGTAACAATTTGATAAAAAAAAAAAAAAAAAAAAAAAATTAGGAAAAGAAAGTTGCACTCTCTCTTGGAGGTCATCTTTTGTTGTGCAAATGAGGGGATTTCAACAATCATTAGTATACTTATATGTTTGAATTTCCCACAACGTACAACAACAACAACAACAGTGTATATATTGTAGCTTGATATGTGCATAAATGTATGTATACACATAAAATTAGATGAACTGAGAAGCTTACATCATGCCTCTAATTAGCACTATTAAATAATGTAGTTTGCAAAGGATTTATTTGTTGACTTCATTGTGATGTGATACAACATTAGCAACATAATGCAAGTGCAATGAGATCAGAGAATTTACTCATCTCTTCCTTCGTTTATCACACGTGAAGAATAAATATTGTACTGTAATGGGTATATATAGAGAAATCAGTTTTTCAAAAACTTTTGTAAATAAATTAACATGGATTTGAGACACGCGTGGGCATGAATGAGTGTTGTGCGAGACAAGTGGGATATTGAAAAAGGAGCTTTTGATTCAGTGTTTACAGAATTGAGCAACCTCAGGTCATAAGTAGTTGATCCACTACTTGTAATTTAAGACACTAACTCATATTTCCATTTTAGTTGCAGCTAGAGTAGCTTGCCCAATTTTTTCTTTACCTAAATGAGCTTCCCAATATTCAATAAACAATCCCCAATTTTTATCTTTATAGAGAGAGATTATATAAATTTCTACGTATTAAGACAATGATAATTTAAGTCACGCAATTCCTTTAAAGGGGTGTCGCTCTTACGCTACATACGCGATTCCACTTTTGCTCTTACTCCCGACTTAAATTTTCACTTTTGTGCTCTAGCTCTCAAACTCGCTCTTGCTTTCGCTTTATGTGAATTGGGTGATGATATGGTACATGTTTTAAAACAAACTTATGTAAGCTGATCAAACAAAGGTGTAAGATTAAAGGCGCGCCACTAATGATTAATAACCAATATGCCAAAAGTCATTGTTTGGTTCAGTGATTGGAAAAAGAGAAGAAAAAAATTGAAGTTCAAATCTTAGAGCTAGCAATCACTCTGTATGAAAGAATGATCGAATAATTTGAAGTTTAATCTCTAGTATTAACCTCCAGCGCTTTAACGCAAACAAACAATAACACAATAAATCTGCTCCATACGATTTGGTTCATGCACACAAGAAATCCGGATGAAGATGATCATTTGGTTGTGATGTTGGAGTGTTTGACACACACTGAAGAATTTGGAGCCGAACAGAATGGTGGCCTTCACACACATGCACACACACATGCAAATGATATGAATGGTCACTTTTCTTGGTGAAGGTCAAGGACAAGGCAGGTTAGACATGGGTCACTTCTCTGCGAGTTTTAAACGTAATTCTCATTATGACGAGTCAGTATCGTACCTTTCTTTCATAGCTTTAAAATGGCAAAACCAACCCCAGAAAAAGGTGTTTTACTCACACTTGAAGGGAACGTATGGTAGCTACTTAGACTGCCATCTTTATTAATTTCCTCATTTTGTACCTACCCTTAATATATCTATATATACACATACACACACACACACACTATATATATATATATATATATATATATATATATATATATATAAGGTCAAGGTGTGTTATTTCAAATGTAAAATGTAGCATATATAAAGGTCAGTACATGTGCTAGTGTCGTCTTCTTTCACTAACAACATGGCAGCACAAAAAGCTGTGCAACTTAGATGACAGTGGGCGTTATTCAATGAATGCCTCACAAACTACAGGGAAGGACAGTGCAAGCACTACTAACTCACTAACTAACACATCAGTTCATATCCCAATTTCTTCTCACCTTCCAAAAATATTAATATTAATATTAAATTTTTTTTTTTTTTCAGTAATGTAGAACTGATATAGCTTGGAGGTTCAAACTTGCTTAAAGTTCGAGTTTAAAAGCAGTCACTTTATACTAATATGAAAGGTTAGATAATAAGTCCCCTCTCCTCCCAACAATCTCAATAAACGAAGACAAACGCGTCTATATTAATCCTTTAAATAACAAAAATTCAACATATATATTTAGTTTAAAATTTTGAAGAATATAGCTTTAAATTTCAATTTGATAATTTACACTTAGATTTAAAAAATTATGGATTGATTTCAGAGGCTTTATGTGTGTTGGTTTCAAATAATAAGATTCTATAATAAAAAAAATAAAAAATAAAAAAAAGGGTAAAAAAATCAGTACCTCAAGCCATCACACAAATATGGGTATTTCACCAATCACATGACATGATTTGTACAAATTCATTACCACCTTTTGATGTGAAAAATGTTGTTGAACAACAAAGTCATGCAAGGACAAATGCAAATCATGAAATATACCCACTATCATTTATAGTAACAACCTAAGAGTATCTTAGAGCAATGTGATTATGTTCATAAATTTTTTATGAGCTAGTTGGATTTGGTTTTCAAACCAAGAATTAAAGAACTTTCCCTCTAAAAAGCTTTTACTTAATTATATCCCCCAAACTGAAATGTGTATGCAATCCATGTTTTCTGTTTTCCAACTTCCATATATTGTACATGAGAATATAAACATAATAATTCAATATCTACCAAAAAAAAATATAATACTAATAATAAATAAATAAATAGTTGTGCCTTTGGATGGGACAAGTTTGCCTTTGAAGAACATGTTTATATTCTTAAAACCTTGGATACATAGGCATCTAAATGAGGGAAAAGGTTGTAGCTATATAGGAGGTGCATTGTTCATTAAGTGTGATCGGAATCATTGGAGGTATCCAAAAGGCAATAACAAGGATAAAGCATTAATTGTGTTTCGGGACAACATTTACGAAGGGTACACTTTTGAGGACTGTTGTTTGTGTTCTTTCATGCCAATATATATATATATATATATATATATATATATACACATGAATATACAAACTGACATTGCAACCTACAACTCAGCAATTGAACACAGTTGTTTTTTAAGTGTGTAACTACTTTTTCAGGCCAATGACTTGGTGCCCCTTAAATTTACAGAGAGAGTGACCTTCTCCCTTCGGGAAAGACAATTTTACCCACAATTAAAGCTTTCATCCTATAAGTTAGTTTCGACATGTCATAGTTATAGTTAGTGCATGACTGGACACAAAGAAAGTTTTCCACCTAGTGTCCCATTAATGCATCACTGGGAGTAGACTACATCATACTTTAATTTTTATGGTTGTGCGCGGCCCACCTCAGCTGAGTTTTTCTTAATGTTAACAAAAAAAAAAAAATGAAATTCAATTAAATGATTGGTTTAGTATTTAATTTATGTTTAAATAATGCTATTAAGAGAATAGCATGAAAATAATCATCACATTTAATTACTAGATTAAAAGATGTCTTGATATAATTATTCTTTATGCACTTTATGCTTTGGGAAGCATGAGGATGACTTATTGTAACGGGTGAGCTTTTGGTCCTATCCAAATTTGATATGAGATAAATATTCTCTTGTAATATTTTCCACCATACGAACTCGCAACACTCTCATTACAGTCGGGCCACCTTACCTACCCGAGGTGGCTCACCCGGTCTCCTTTCGGGCCGAGCCCTTAGCATGACACCAAATCAAGAATTGGATCTAACTCTAATACCAACTATAACAGGTGGATCCGAGGTGGCTCACCCAGTTGCCTTTCGGGCCGAGCCTTTGGCGTAACACAGAATCAAGAACTGGGTTTGGCTCTGATACCAACTATAACGGGTGAACGCTTGTCCATTTATTCAAAAACTCAAGTGTTGGGCAATGAAGCATACCTACCCATTTATACACACTTCAACTTCATCCAAATCTGATATGGGACAAATATCCCCTTATAACACTTACCCACTTGAACCAACACCTTAGAATTTTTTATGTTTGAGATTCACATTGAAACCGGACTCACTTGAACCAACCCCTTAGGTTTTTCTTTACATTGCTTATGCATCAACGCCTCAGATCCTTGTGTAACAACTTTACATCACTGGTTTGTAAGCAATGTACTGTATTGTATTACGTAACCGCCAATATATTGTGTTGAGTAAGTGGTACAGGACGCAAAATCGCAAACACATGATCACATCCTGATTCCATTTACATTACTCATAAACTGCAACTTGGGCTGACCAATCTGAGCCTGATATGGCCCTTGAACGGATTTGTTGATCGAATTAGATAAATAGAGTCCTTTTCCATGGGTTTGGATTGAAACTTATCAACACTCTATCTGAATTTAATCTGTTACTTGTAACGAGATCTTAATTGTAGACAGAGTTAGCAACACGAGCTCAATACAGACCCAACCTTTATCATCAATATTATTAAAACATTGACAACCTACATATAACCCAAACAAACAAACAACCTACGTAAACCTTGGCTAAACCATGTTCAAGGGGTCAAAAAAAAATATCTGGTTTGGGTTTGGATTGAGCTCATTGATTTGATTCAGAATTGGATTGAGATTTTTATTTCTCGATTAAGCACGCTATAGTTGACCTAACATGTCAAATCCGTCCAATTTGTATGTCTGTTTATATAAAGTGACTTCTTTCATACTTTATAGTATAAATTACTGTCGCAACAATAACATGCCCAACTATCTAGTGGGCCTAAAGTAAATGCATGATGTGGGTGATGATACATCTGCTGGGCAACAGCAGCTTAAAGGGTGCACAAAATATAGAGTTACGATATGAAAAAAAACACACACTATTATTTATCAATAGGACCACAACGTAACAGAGACACATTATATCATTAGGACCACAGCTTAAAAAGAGATCCAGTGACATTAAAGAAAAATTGGTCCACACCTAATATAAAGCTTACAAACGAGGTTGACAGTTTAAATAAATAGTGCCCCTGTGGTAGCGTGCGCTGTAGGCGTCGAGAAAAAGCTTGTAGTTGTACAGCCATGCTTTGGGGTGCTGGTGGTGGGTACGAGTAACACAGTAATTTAGCATTTGGCGTTAAATGACACCAAAACTTTATGGACCATGCGCTCGGATTCTAGGTTCTCTTTGTCTACCTCTGTTTCATTTAAGGGAGTATACCAACATTAGACAAAACTATAAACAATGTACTCGACGAAAAAAGTAAGTAGTAGTTTAAAATTAAATAATAAAAGTTATCACGAGCGATTTCACCTGTCTGCTCGAGAGATCATCTTGTCTGAATTCTCAATTCAACAATTGAAAGCACGAGTTATTGTGAGAACAACTGAATTGTTATTTTGATCAAAGTTATGATGAGGATACTCATCGTGCAATTGATGACATCAACCACATAACAAAAGTTTAAGGATTCATTAAGGGTACCCTCATCACAAACTCGCTCTACAATAATGTTTTTGTTCCAGCAGTTAAAGGGGAAACCAAAGCCAAATAATGTTGAGGAAATTATACCATGCTACCAATGACCATCTAAACAACACAATCTCACACATTAGGAAAAGTCCCAGAAAATGACATCGTTGGGGTCTACTTTCCTGATGATAAATTTTAACTTCGTCATATGTAACCATACTTGAAGTGCAATGCCAATGAAACAGTTTCCAATTCCAGTTTCATTTTAGCGTTTACAGCAGCAACAAGCTGATTTCAGCTGTTCTGTAAAGTGCAACTTAAACAGAGATCCACATTTCACTCCTGTTCAATTGCAACTACCTCTTTAGTATCCATATCAGCCCATATGCACAACCATCATTAGTGATACCAAAATTATATTTCAATGCAAAATGAACACAATTCATAAATAATTTCCATCTTACGTTTTGTATCTACCCTACCATAGTTGGTGCTACAGAGATAAAATGTTTTAAAGCTATTAACATAACTCAATACGAACACGATTCATAAAAATTTTCCATCTTCTGTTTTGCATCTACACTACCATAGTGATGCTATAGAAATTATATGTTTTAAAGGTAACACATGTTTGAGTTTATGAGGGTTAATGTGCTATGAAATTATAGGGAAGAACTTTTAAAAAGTTTGTGAGCTCCAAATATGTTTATTCTACATTTTTTCCATGAGGTTTAGACTTGTTCAAGATTTATTGGAAAAATAATATACAAGAGCAAACTCAGAGACCTTGCGGAGAAGAAAGAACACAGCTGTAGTACTGGAAACAAAGGATGGAAGATGGTGTGAAAGGACAAATGAAATTAGTTGTGAGAATGAGAGCTACTTCAATACTATCTTTACTTAAAAATTAGGACATACACGAACAACAATACCGCAAATCTCAAAGAAATAGAACAATAATACGACAGGAGTACGTCAAAAAATAATAATTTTTTGCACTCTCTTCTTAGAAAATAATTAAAATCCTACAATGTCCAACCGAAAGGAAAAAGAAAAAAATTACAAGACACTTCTAACCGTATCGTCTGACACCGCCACGGCACCTCTTCCTTCCTATCTTAGAAGTGTGGTACTTAAAATAGTAGTCAAGTAAGCACTCAAGTCTTCCCTTCAATGAACAGGAATCTCCTTCCAAGTGACATACCCACCACACAAATCCCTTAAGTGAAAATACCCACCAAAAGCATTCCAATATACACTCATTGTCCTTTGAAATGTATTATTTTATATAATTATAGCAAAATTCTTAGTTAACTGGCTCAACCCTATTCTTCCTAGGTTAATTAGTGAAAATCATAGTGCTTTTTGTCCATGGTACTTTTTCGACTCATGAGCTAATATTATCCTGAAAACAACCGAACTATTTGTTTGTCCTTGATATTTAAATGAATTTCATCCTCTTATCAACAAACATTTTAGCCATTCACCTGTTCCAGACAAAAAACCCAACTAATTGACTAGTTGAAAATCAGAGCAGCTGAAATCTTCTATCTTCTCAATGAACAATTACTCATATATTTTTATTACATAACTGTAAAGCACAAAGATACGTCCAAAAAATTTAAAAAGAAATATTACAGCAATAAATTTATAACAATGCTAATCAAGTATAAGTTTAATGCATCTAGGGCTGGATATATAAAGGATTAACTGCAAAACTGGAAACATAAAGCATAATTCTGATTTGTGCACCTGCAGCAGGTCATCCGAGCCTTTTGTGCCGGGTTCGAGAAGTGTGGGCCTCTTCAATATGTCTAGTGAGCAGCGAAATACCATAATGCGAAGTGCTCGAGGCAGCATAATATGATGTCACAGTAAGTTGAGTAAACTTTGGAAGCACATAACCTAAAAATTAAAACGTTAGTTTCCAAGTAAAACGGTGAAACCAATTGATCAAAAGATCAAATTCACTGAAAATATGAAAATAGCCTTATAGCAATAACACCCACAAACTAGCATCCTGATGAAAAATAGGACGTCAGAAAAACTACTAGCTATTACTTCCATTTGTTCAGCAAAGCCGTACTCATCTATGATTTCCAAAATCCGGTCATACACAGAAGAATACATTAAAAGGGCTAGGCGAGGGATTCAAGGCCAAGAAGGAATCTAAAAATTAAAGAGTTCAAAAATCCTTTGTTAGTGTGGGTACCTGATCCCACCGCTTCATGTATTGTAGAGGTGGCAATAATCTGCATATAATTTCCAATCAGTCATGTGGCATCTCTAGTGACTCAACACCTGATACTCTCCTTGAGAACAGTGTCCAATCATAAATAAATACGTAGAATGCTTCGCAAACCACATCGCCCCCTTTGAATATTACACATATCAAGTCTCTAAGACACTCCAAACATGTTAAGCACCATGGTCAAGCACAACTAGCAAAAGCACTTCAAACTTTGACAAAGACAAAATCATCTAAACTACCATGCACCATTCCACAAAACCAGCACTTTACTGCATGCTTGGTTCTTCTAGGATCAAATCAATGCACATGCTCTACAGCTGAATAGCGACATAGTGATATTCTCCATGAAGTTCTCTAGTGAAGAGGAAGATTCTCTTTTCTTAATCGAATCAAATGCCTAATAAGATGAATAAGGGCAGATATATAATAAAAAGAGTTCAAGAACGACCAGACCAACGGAAACTCTTCAAGCAAATGGATCTTTGGTCCTATTTAGGAAGCCTTGAGACCATGAGATCACTTAAAAGGTAAAGGTGCTTTTACTGTCTATGGAGAGAATGCCATACAGAGAATAAGGTTTGAGAGGAGACTTTGCAGGGGGAAAGAAGCCTCTGGAGCCAGTCAACAGGAGATTGTAATGGTGCCTATCAATTAGGAAGTTGGGTCCTCCAACCCCGTCCATCACAAGGTCGACCAGTCAACTGTGTACTTCTATAGCTGCGCAGACAGTCTTTTTCCACAGACAAAACACCTCAATAAAAACAAACTCAGTGAGTACTGCACCCATATGTACCTCATGCTAGAGGAACACTCTGTGGCTATAGAATGACCATCTTGTGATATATAATAGTCCATTTGAGATCCTAAAAGTACCTTGCATGTTGACTGAAATAAAGGCCTCATTGATTTCCCCTCACAGAGTCTACACCTCGACTTGTTCAAACGAGGAACCATCGTGTGAGTTCTAAATATCATATACCCCTGACTGACATGACAACATCTTCTTGGACCACGCTTATCACTAGGTTGCAGCCTCTTGAGCGGTAGCCGCATTAAAATGTGGTGACACATCAGATCATCACACCGCCTCAACTAACCTAATAAAAGACTGCCCCTAATGCCATAATGTGCCCCCTCCGCCCCCCACCATGCCCTATCAGACTGCCTGACTACATGTGGCATCCCATATAATCACAATAGCAACAAGTGGAAATACCCCATAAAGAGCTCTGTTGGTTATGCTACGAATAGACCTCTACCTCCTGAAGTTCAACTGACATTTACAGGACCGACCATCTGGCATATGTTAAAGCCTAACTATGTTCAAAAGGCACAAGTAGCATCTAGACAGGCCTTTACCCCTCAAACTAAGACCAATTCAAAGAGCAAGGGTGACCTTGGGATTCCTTGGAAACCTTGCAATTGCCACTCTCCCCTGAAAGGCTGAAACTTACAAGTATCTCAATCCACCCAGTACACTCATCATCATATGAGTAATAGCTCCATCACCCACTTAAGAAACCACATAATTTTTATTCCTTCAAAGGATTTCAAAATAAGAATTCGAAAACTGCAATTATAGGTCAAATTCCCCTCAAAACATGTTATTTTCAGGTCCTATACGGTACAAGCTCTCTTTTTCTTCTTTTTTTTTTTTTTTTTTGAACAGTAAAGCAAACACGCACCCTCTTACCTACAATACGATAGATACCCATAGATACTATAAGTTTCCTATCTGATTTGAAGCCAGCTATTTGAATGAGCCTCATATGCTTCAATTACAGAGTGTGAAAACTTATTTGATTCCAAAATGAATCTCCATATTCATTTGCTTGCAAATACGATGTTCCGACAAAATCACATTTACAATGGTTTGCAAACTGTTTGACAACAATTAGGTTTTGAAGATTTAAAATTTTCAGGCTGGTACATTAAGTGCCCATTGATAAGGCACAATTAGTTAGCATTTAAAGGGGGTAGCTGAGTATGACCTTTTTTTTACCAAATGTAACAACAAGATCGGTGGAAGATTTTAAAAATTCTAACATAAACTAAAAATTTATGATCAGTGGAAGATTTTAAAAATTCTAACATAAACTAAAAATTTATGCTTAAATTTGATTTCTATAAAGTCACCTAGTTTCTTCTGTATTTATCAAAAAATAAAATAAAATAAGAAGTCTTATATATTGCTAACCCAAGACAACTATTTTCAGCCTAAAACTTTTAAATTTATCAAATAACACCTGGACTCTGGAACATACGCGCCAAGACAAACAATGTGTCCACGGTTCACATTTGTTCTCTTCCTCCATCTTTGACCAAAATGAATATATATCTATATTAACTTAATAATTTAACCATGAAATTTCTAACCTTGACATAAACCCAAAACATGGACATTACTGGACATGATTAAAATTATGCTGTTGCCAGGATCATGATACATCAGTGCTTGGTCAATGACTTCTTAAGCTCTGCTACATGGACTCTCCTATTATCCTTTACAAACCTGTATCAACATGACATGGGTAAGCGGGTACAAGATATATGTCTGACACATGAATCCTAATCTGACACTTTGATCCTTCAAATGGAATGACTGAAGAACAAGAAAAAACTCAAATTTTATAGTAGAGATGAGTTACATATCAATGATAATTATAATCCTTTTCTTTTACCACATCACATTGAAGAGCATGTTGTACAATAATTCAATGATTAAAGCCCTTCAGAAATTTGTGAATTCAATACTAGCCTAATCATCCATCAGATGTTATGAAACAAATAACATTATTTGACACAGCTCAAACATCTCAATAAAGGAGCCATCTATACCTCCAAAAGCAGAGCTTGCAGCAGAATACATTAGCAGCGGAGGAAGCTGTCGAGAAATTAGAATTGAAATGGAAGTGAGCTAGAGAAATGCATGTACAAGTAGACTGACACATATTCTATGGTATCTGAGGAAATTAGTATGTCCTGAGTATCATGTGAAGAGTAAGAGAGTAAAAAAGACATTCAAAAGTATAATAATTGTACCCCAATAAGAAAAGGAAGCCACTTCGGTCCCTTAACATGTTTCTGAACATATGGGAGTCCTGAAATCAATCAATCAAGTCTAAGCCATAGAAAAAGAATGCGCGTACATAAATATGTAAAACACAAGAACAAATGAATTTGTCTGCACCTGCATTAACACCATGAATTGCACTAAGCATTCCACCAACACCAGAACCAGCCTATTGAATGGAATGTATATGAGATATGAAAATAGAAAGGGAAAATAAAAGAGACAAAGGAGGCAGTGAGGGTAACAAAGAAGGATTTTGTGTATAAGGACCTGTTGTACCATAATATGAATGTACCGCATCAGTGCTCACATAACATTAAACTCAGGTTCTGTTCATAATATAATGGTTTAGAGGCAAGTAACTACAACAGAATGAATAAGGTCCCGAACAATCTGGCCATTATTAAATAAGAACATCAACAACTTGTTGCGGCCTTAAGCACCATATTTCATTTATTAACAATTTCATCACTCACACACATAAGTTGTTTAAATAATACATTTTGCTGACTGATAAAACCGAAGGACCCTGTTCTTCGTAATTCTGTGTCTGCTATGTCTGCAACGGATGTACGCAAATGACTCAAGACACTATGACACAATATTACTGTTTTACAACCCACCCTCACAGTAACCCTCATCAGTAACACCAACACAACATTGGGTATTGGTCTTTCCTATTTAATTGACCCCTAATTCGCATGTACACTTTATAAGAGGAGTCATTGTTACTGTTCATGAATTAATGACCGTATTGATCTTTTTTTCAAAAAAGCAAGGAAAAATTACTATCAAAATGCCCACACGGTACTAAATTGATAAAGTATACCATTGCTACCCAAAAATATTCGGAAAATAAATACAAAACAAGTATAAAACGTACAACAGCTGTGGCGTCGTGTAAAACAGAAGTGATTGTCCATTCCCCATTTTCCTGCTTCAACAAAAAATTATAACAAACTGTCATATAAAATGTTCTAAGAAGCATTTCATCAAACGAGTAATGGCACAGTTGATATATGTGTATAGGTAGAAAGAGAGCACCAAATTAGGGTTTAAGAGAGAAAGAGTACCAAATTAGGGTTTAAGAGAGAAAGAGTACCAAATTAGGGTTTAAGAGAGAAAGAGTACCGAATTGGGGCTTAAGAGAGAAAGACAGCGAGGACAGCGAGGCGAACCGAGGCCAGGGTTCATGGTAGGGTCGTGATGGAGATTGCCCGACCTTAGCTTCTCCTCATAGACCTCTCTCGTCCCCATCTCTCTTCGATTCCACCACTCTACTGCACCGCGAACACCGTCACTTTCTCTCTCTTCTCTCTCAAGAGTCAAGAAGACTTGCGATTGCGAGGTCCTTTGAACCGTGTGTGAGATAAAAGCAGAGTGCAGTTCTGGCCCGTTGGATGGGTTCTGGTGAACCCAGGTCAAAACCCCTTCGGTCAAGGACTCCCAGCTCTAGATTTGATTTCGAGTTACGTTTCACTAACCCACAAAATAATTTAAGAATCTAATCTAATGTTAAATGAAAAAATATCAACGGTTATAAATAATGTTCAAAGTATTGTATATAGTAAATCAGGATTTAAAGAATTATAAAACATATTGATTACAATTATAATAGTATCACGTTTGAAATTTTAATTAAAAATAATAATTTCAAATTTAGATTAGAATTGAATTGTCCACACCTGGAATTAAATTCAAATTAAGTTTAAGTTAGACGTGTTTTTAACTCAAACCCGATCTTAAACATAAGAATTATTATTTAAATTTATAAAAATGAACTTACTTAATGAAACCAGCGCAATATACCTGTAGGCTTTGTCTTGTGTACTTGTCACCATGTCCAACCAAACGATGGAACCACTTCCATCTTTTGCAATCATCACATTTTTTTAAAAAAATAACTTGTCTTGTGGCCAATCATCACTTTTTTTTCTTTTTCTTTTTTTGGAGCAAGCTATTTGATTTTTGTTTTTTACATTTTTTATCAAATAATATTTTAAGTATTTAATAGAAGAATTTAAATAGCTTGCTCCTTTTGAATTTAATTTTTCAAACAATTAAAAACCACTACCATAATATTGAGATTTAAAAACATTTTTTATAAATAAATTAAAGTAATAAAATATTTTCCTTTAGTTAAATTCAAAATGTTTTCTTAAAATGTGTTGTTTTTTTATATAATTTTTATGGAGAATATTGAGATTTTAAATAACTTGCACCTTTTGAATTTTTCCAATAATTACAAACTACTTCTATAATGTTGATTAATTTTTTATCGACTAGTATTTTAAGTATTTAATAGTAATCATACTCATGTCACGTTATTTTTATTATTATTATTTAGGATAAATTGCCCTCACACCTCTCAAGTTTGGGTTAAAGACTCCCAATTACAACTTAGACATTGTTTAAACAATATACACCCTAAATTTAGTAAAGTTAGCAAAGACATTCCAAACCACATGTAAATTGATATTATTAACCTATTTGTGAATTGACCAATTTAAATTATAAAATTACTATTTTAATCTTTATAAACATATAAGACTTTAAAGTGAACGAACAATTAGGAAGAAACTTACTTTCATAAATATGTAAGATCATCAAGTCATATTACTAAACAAATCAATTGGAGTATAATTTTATTTACTATATCATTAATTGGATTTGCAAGTCTAGTGGAGAAAGAAGTCAATAGCCTCCTAGCACTAGTGGGAGATGAATTATATATGTTATGTTTGGTATATGTTATATATACACAATTACACACATAGCCTGAACCAATAACTAATTAAATTAACTCCCTAATTTTTCTTACCTATAGAATTTTAACTAAAAAAACATGCGAGGCTCACTTGCTTTTTCTATTACCAGCACACACGATGCTCAAGTTCTAATGTGCAGAAAAGAGAGACAATTAATACAGTAATTTGTATTGACTTATGGTACCATCCTAGTGGGGAGTTAGTTGCTGAATTTGAAATTCTCTCAGACTTTAAACAGATAAATTGTAATATTATGTATTAAAATAGTGTGATATTTTTGTCTTTTCATTTTGTCACATCATATTCAAGATACGCTTGCTTCATTCGTCATTGATCGTCATAAAAAAAGCAAAGAGAGATCATATGCGAGACACTTTGCTCCATTTAAAAAAAATAACAATAATAATACTTAATTTGCTCCGTTCATTATTGAACATCACTGTCATAAAACAAATAAAGAGCTTTGAAATCCCCATAGAATAATAATACTCTTAAAAAAAAAAAAAGCAAAAGCAAGAAAAAGCAAAGTAGTGGACGAAAAAGAGAGGGTCAATAATGGAAGACATAGACATTGTACTCCACAACAGCATCCCCACTCCTGAGGTCGAAAGTGTGAGTCTTGGCTTGAGCATAGCCTCTAGCAAACCGGAACAACCCGCTCCCGCCGACAACCGGCATCTCTCTCACCGTCGACAACACCGTGTTTCGGCCTAGTACGCTGAGAGTGCTACCATTATATTTCCCTTCCATGAAAGCAAAGTTCAAAACCATCAAAAGACCAATTTCACTTAGGGACGCCGAAGCATAAATTCCCTGCGCTCTTCCCACTTGCTTCGAGCTTAGCTCCGGCCGTACCGTCAACGGATCGTCAATCATCGCCACCATACCAAATCCAGTAATCGATGAGTTAGTCATGGCCGCTTCCGCTATTCGGACAGCAGTAGGATTTCGGCCGCTAACAATGTCATGGAAGTAGAAGTGGAGGTGGCTGAGCTTCTCTTTCTTCAGCCCTAGCATTTCCCGAGACAAGCTTCTCGAGAAACGATGAGATTCTCCGGCGGCAACCAGGGTCGAGAAAAGGAACACGGTGAAGATGATGGAAGTGAGGTATGCAAGAGTTTTGGCCATGGTGGGTAGGGTTAGATATATGGTAGTGTTTTGAAAGAGAATATAAATATGGTGGGTATTATATATAGGGCTAGCTGTGGTTTGTGTGTCCCTAACTTTATCTAAAGCGAACTTTATATTCTTCTAAGTGGATCAAACGTTCAACGGTAGTACAAGAGTATGGAGTAGTTAATTCCATGGAAGTAGGGCATGTTAGGAGAGAAGAGAACAAAAATATGATTTGTCATAAAGTGCCTATTACCTACCGCAGCGTGGACCGACCTTGTCGTGATAAATGGGGCATATATACAGTATTGGCGTGTTTACAATGGCATCAAAACCAACAATTAAGTTCAAATACCTTTAAAAAGCGTATTGTCACATTAACGTATGTACTTTCCTATACGAAAATCCTTGATATATATATATATATATATAGTTTTTAGTAAGTATATCCATGATATGTATAATGTCTATATATAAATATATATATCTCAATAGTTTTCACAAAATTAATTCATCAATCTTTGTGATTTTGACTTTGAATTATACTGCATATATATGTTCATCTTTATATATATGTTAAGTGAATATCAAATGTCCAATAATCGAAGAACTTACATCTTTATATAAAAATTAAAGCTCTAGTTTGACAATTGTACGTTATGTCCTTATGACCAACATGAAAACAATACATACTTGTCTCCTTGTCCATAATTAGAATCTCTGTTACATGCAGGATAATATATTATTAATATTAATCAACAAAAAAAAAATATATATATATATATATATATATAGGTATACCTACCGACCAATTAACGGAACCCTTCCAAAACCCCTAACTTCCTTCCCTCATCTCATGAAAACCAATTTATGTTACTTGCATAAAAAGAAAATTTTATTAACCAGCTTAAACACGACAGAGGAAAAACATAAAGTACGTATTAATATATAAAGTACGTATTAATATATGGATTCATGACTTAGTGGATGTCTATTTCATAAAAGAAGGAAACATATTATGTGAGTATCTGTGTATATATACTAGTTAGTCAAAGAACTTCCCCAATGGAAGTTTACCTACCCACTTCTTTGTGGAGAAACTAATTATGTTGGACTTATGGAGCTAGTTTGGTTGTGGAAGTTGGAAAATGGGGAAATAGTTCTAAGAAAAGAAGACCAACTGGCCGTACCAGTTGGACATTGTGGACTTTTGATCCCAAATATATCATAATCAGGAGACTTAGGAAGGTGCCCCACGCTTTTAGAGTCTATTTCACAAGATTTGCCCATCTCCCTAAATTTTTCTCAAATTTGATCAAGTAGTTTTAAAGGTACGGTAATATCAAAGACACCATCAAGTAGTTTTCAAGGGTTCAACTCCCTACCTGGTGTATTTTTTGTCAGTAATAAAAAAATTTAAAATCAAAGATCAATGATATGGACTCGTACAATTGAATGACTAATTTTATATGAATAAAGACATCAACAAGTATAAATTAGTCGGAATTGTACGACCTAAATTTAAATTAAATTTGAACTCATCTTATATAAATCATGCAATTTTATATTTTTTGATTCACAAGTAGGGATGCACAGACTTTGATTCAGTTCAATTTTGAACTAAATTAGAGTCACCAAAGGGAAACGAAGAAAACGATTAAAGACTTTCTTTTCATTGCCCCCGACACACGAAGCATCTAATGAATTTCCAGAGCACTAACTGTAAATTTTGGTGAACCTTTTTAACTTTTCTTTTTAAAAGGTAAAACCTTTTTCAAATCAAAAGTCCACATCTAAAACTCTTAAAATCTCTCTCTTATCCGTAGAAGCCACTGTAAAAATGCAATTGTGTATATTATATATTGTAAATTGTAGCTACATGGGTTCAGCCTCGGCTGGATTACAGAGAAAAAAAAAAAAAAAAACACAGGCCATGAAAGGCCCAGTTACAAGCCATCTGGGTTCAAAACAAAGTACCCAAAATAAAAAGCCCATATGTAGCCCAAGGCCCATAATGCAATTTCCATCTTCTGAACCTCAAACTCTTTGTATTGAAACTGAAAATTCTCTATTTGGTTGTCTACTTGTCTCTCCATATAAAAGGAGAGTGTAATATATAAGATGGTAAGTTAGTGAGGGTTAGTAGTTGAAACTGAAAATTCTCTATTTGGTTGGTCTACTTGTCTCTCAAGATAAGAGAGAGTGTAATACATAGTAGAGGATATTTTTGTCTTTTTAATTATGACCACTTTATATTATATAATTTGAAATGAATATATAGAGCTGTGTATCTCAGGTATGATGATCAATAGAATACAAGACATGCAAGTAAAAAAGCGAAAGCCGTACACGAAAAAGAAGAAAAAGAGGGGGTCAATAGTGGAAGACAAAGACATTGTATTCCACAACAGCATCCCCGCTGGTGGTGTTAAAAGTGTGAGTCTTGGCTTGAGCATAGCCTCGAGCAAACCGGAACAATCCGCTCCCACCGACGACCGGCAACTCTCTTACCTCCGAAAACACGGTGTTTCTTCCGAGCACGCTAAGAGTGCTACCATTATATTTCCCTTCCATGAAAGCAAAATTGTAAACCATCAACAAACCAAATTCACTTTGGGATGCGGAAGCATAAATACCTTGCGCTCTTCCCACGAGTTTGGAGCTTGGGTCGGGCCGTACAGTCAACGGATCATCAATCATGACCACCCCACCGAAGCCGGTTATTGACGTGTTGGTCATGGCCGCTTCCGCCACTCGGACAGCAGTAGGGTTTTGGCCGCTAACGATGTCATGGAAGTAGAAGTGGAGGTGGCTAAGCTTCTCTTTCTTCAGCCCTAGCATTTCTCGAGACAAGCTTCTCGAGAAACGATGAGATTCTCCGGCAGTAAGGGCGGAGAAAATTAGGAAGACGATGGAAGTGAGGTTTGCAAGGGTTTTGGCCATGGTGGGGATCGAATAAAAGGTTGCTGAATGGGGGAGGATATATATAGAAGATAAAGGGTTACTTGTGGTTTGTGTCTAACTTTAAAATATATATAAATCTAGCTAGCGGAATATATATGGAGTAGTTACAAGAAAAGATAGAGGCCATGTGCAAGAGAACAAAAGATATATATGTTTGTCCACATAAAGTACCTACTACCTACCACAGCTACCACAGTGTGGGACTGACCTTTTCGTGCAAATTGGGTCATATTATACAGAATTGGCCGGCGTGTTTACGAGGATCAAAAGCAACAACTGATCGAGTTCAAATACTATAAGAAGCGTACTGTTACATTAACTCATGTATGTTCTTATCATTTGAACTTTGAAATATACTGTATATATTTATCTACCTACGTGTGGTGTTAATTGAATCTTAAGTGTCCAATCCATGAACTAGCTCACATCTTTATATTAAATTAAAACATACTCTGGTTTCACAATTGTACCTTAGGTCTATATATGATGAACATGAAGACAATGCACACTTGTCAACTCTCTTTTGATAGTTTACATACATAATCATATATTAATATACTCGAAGGAAATATACATATATATATATATATATATAGAGAGAGAGAGAGAGAGAGAGAGAGAAGATACAGGGTTAGTTGTGGTTTGTGTCTAACTTTATACTATTTATAAATCTAGCTAGCGGAATATATATGGAGTAGCTACAAGAAAAGAGGCCATGTACAAGAGAACAAAATATATATATGTTTGTCCACATGAAGTACCTAATAACTACCACAGTGTGGGACTGACCTTTTCGTGCAAATTGAGTCATATTATACAGAATTGGCGTACGTGTTTACAAGGATCAAAAGCAACAACTGATCGAGTTCAAATACTATAAGAAGCGTATTGTTACATTAACTCATGTACGTTCTAATCATTTTGTCAGCATGAATTGTACTTTTTAATGTATTTATATAAATTGTTATAGTTAGGATAGTTGACCGTAGAATATATTATTATTATATTGTGTAATATATTCTAACTATGTATAGGTTGACCATTCGTAGAATATATTATTACTATATTGTCTAATATATTCTAACCATGTATAGGTTTATTATGCGGAGATTTACCACATAGGATTTAGGTTTCTTACTTTCGACACATCTTGTCACCTATATAAACCATTGTTTATCTCATATCTTATATATCAATACAATATACAGTTTCTCTCTTTTATATTTTTAACGTGGTATCAGAGCTAGTCTATGAATTTTTTTTTTCTTTTTCGTATTCCGAATATTGTATTTCGAATTTTGTTCCTGTTGTTAGTATAAATGACGATTAAGTACTTCATGCAGGCGCAACTACCGTACTAACCCTGACTTCGGCACTGCAGATTATAGTCCACTAAGACAATTATACATTTCCAACTGGAATTATACTGGATAAGACTAATTACTCATTATGGTTTTAACTCATGGAGATGCAAATTGGCGCTCGTAACAAGGCTGGGTATCTCACCGGAGAAGCGACAAAACCCACACCTGGAGATCCGAAATTGGAGACATGGATAATCGAAAATCATCGAGTCAAGAGTTGGCTCATTGACTCGATGAGCCCATCATTGATGCAGCGATATTTATTCGTTTTCCCATGACTAAGAAGATATGGGAGGCAGTGTCTAGAACCTTTTATGAAGGATCGGATGAAGCGTGTATTTTTTAATCCACATAGGTAAAATAGGGGAGTACAGAAGAAACAATATGAACCCAATCCCAAAGCCAAGACTAAGTACCCAATTACTAATTATGTTTCCCCCCATAGGTTGTCAGAATCGTATGCACTTTCTGTTAATCAATTGTGTGATACTCCCTAATTTTGGAACACGGGTTGATCAAGTCCGCGCACAAAATCAGGGGATATCAAAACAATTAAAGTATTTAAACAAGCACAGATTACAAAATGAAATAAAGAATAAAATAAAACACTAAAGAAATCTAATTAATAATAAATCCATTAATAACTTCCAAATGGTTACAAATTGGGAATTCCGTAACTCAAGGACCCCTTAACCATAAGTTACTATTTAGAATTCCAACAAAATAAATACTAATAACAACTAAAACAATAATAATATCATACTTTTAAATAAACAAAAGGAATGGATAAGTCCACCAGCTGCGGATCCTCAACCTTGAGACTTGACCTTCTAACAACCTGAAAAAAAAAAAAAAATCGCGGGTTAAACCCTACGAGCAAGTTCTCTCTACCAAGCCTCTGAAAACCAATAAACAGATCACTTTTACCAAAACCATTCCTAATAAAGTTTTAACTTTAATATACGATGCTAAAAATATATATAAATACTTATATATGTAGTACAATAATCCTATCTATTAATAGGGTATTAAATTGTCAAAAAATCACTCACCAATGATTAATTATCAGTCATACCTAGACCAAGCCCCCCCTTTATAATTTTCTCATAAAGTAAACTCCACTCACCTTAACTCCATCTTAAACAGTAATTTAGTCATTTAAACAATAACTCACAATATAAGAAGAAAAAAAATCCAATAAATCCAAAATCCAATAATACTTTTGATCATTTAAATTACATATCAAAAATTTAAACTTTGACAAATCATCCATGTCTCCACCACTATTATTTTATTAACATATATAAAATAATACCTTAACTTGTATATACTAGATTATTCTAGTCATAATTCAACCTATATACACCATAACCTTAGATGGCATTTAATCATCTAAACATATAGCAATTTAAATATGCATCGGCAAATCAACCATGCCATTTATAAATATATCTATTTATATACTAGCAATTCAACCATGCTTTCTTAAGTATATTTACTTGCACCATTAATTAGCAACTCAACCATGCTTCTCATATATGAAATTTATTCATATCTAATAAGGCAGTATATTGAAGGCTTTGGCAACTCATCCATGCCAACAATTCAACCATGTACCAATCTTAAACTTAACAAGAAGTTAATCCATACGTAGACATCTCATGCATCTTACATGCATAACATTAATTTAATAATCAGTCAATCCAGATATTCTTAAATAATATATATATATATATCTATATATATATATATATCAAATTACATATATATATAATCATATATTAATTAATCCATACGTTACATATATATAACAAATATTTATATATACACACTTCCTTCCAACCAAATTATCAATTAATTATAATCACACTAAATAGATGCAATTAAATATCGTAGTAGCATCCTACAACCCTCAAACATCTAAAATATATCATCTAATGATTAATTTCAAAATTAACCAGCTTGAAATCAATCCTGGAACATCATCGGACCCCACTGGAACCTTCCGGAACATCACACGCATCCCCACGCGCCCTCACGTGCCGCCACAAGCACCTCCACTTGCTGCACGCGCCCCCACGCGCAAGAACACTGGCAAGCGCGTCCACGCGCCCTCACGCACCCTCTACACTCTCAGCGCGTGTTGGCAGCCCCTCATTGGCTGTCCTCCGTGTTTTAGTGAGCCGCGATGTACCGGATCAGCTCCCATTCATCAACCACATCTAAGCCATTAATTGCCGCATGTGCATCAACTTACAATGTGCCGCAATACACTGAATCCCTCTTGTTTTAAATTTTAAACTTCAATGGCTCAGATCCACACACACACTAAGTTATGGTATACGAGCCACACTGAATCAAAACCCATATTTGATATGCCAATTCATGTTAACCTCCGGTACGTATATATGAACAATATATATATATATTGATACACAGAAAATATATAAATAGATTCTAAAAACATAAAATATTTCAAAAAAATTACCATAAAATCTCAGAAAATTCTAAAAAAAAATCCCAAAAGCTTAGTTTAATTGTTTTGGGCCTAGTTGAAACATATAATTAAATTAAGATCTATTTAATTTAATTAATCATGCTACACAAGGTTAAAGCAACCTATAAAAATTTCAAAAATATAATTTAATCAACCTAACCTCACGTACAAGATTTAAATTATTAGAACAAGACATACCCCTATTCACATGTTTAAATTCTATAATTTTATTTTTTAAAAATAAAATAAATATATAATTTTGATACTCAAGGTGCTGAGTTTATGAATTCTAAGAGGAGAAGTAAAGAAGAACTTGCCTTTCTTTTCCAAATCCGGTCTCCTTTTCCTTTGATTCGGCCTCCTCTTCGTTAGCCCTTCTTCTTCTTTCTCTAACTCTCTTATTTTGCTAACGTGGAAAAACTCCTAACCCTAAAGTCTTATGTGTCTATTTATACAAAAAAAAAAAAAAAAAAAAAAAAAAAAATCTAAATCATTTTCCTATTATGATTACCATATTAAAGAAATAATATTTATCTTTTAAATAATATATATACACACATATATTTTAATATAAATATGTATATTACCTTCCATATACAACCTTTAGTTAAATAAGTTATATATATATATATATATATATATATATATATATATATAATGACATATTTACTCCTCCACTTGATTATTAATTAATTAAATTTATATACATATAATTATATATATATAATTATGCAAAGATAATTTTTAAATATCTTCATAACCATGGGTGCAAGGATAATTATTAAATATCTTCATAACCATGGGCCTTTAATAATTAACCCACAAGGATTCATTCAAGCCCAATACCACATCCGTTGGTCCAACTTCCCTTAAACTCAATCCAAATAATTTAAATATATAAAATAATTAATCAAACACTTAAATTATTGAAAACTAATTACATGAAGCACATTCTCAAAATAAGAATTTAAAACTAAATCACACCATACCAATAAAAACGATAATCAAACATACACACAAACAATCAACACATCATCACGAAATATAATTTGATTAGAATAAGACAATTAATCTACACACGTAATAAAACAAATCATTTTTAATAAAATAAAATAAAATAAAAGCAATTACTCATAATTAAATCAAACAAATCATTTACAAAATAAAATAAAATAAATTAATTTTAATTAATAAATCCTTTTAAAATATCGGGGTATTACAAATTGTCCACTGTGTCTATTCCTAGTAGTGTGCAGGATGCATTGGCAGATCCAAAGTGGACCAGGGCAATGAATGAAGAAATAGAAGTTCTTCAGAGGAATTACATTTAGAAACTTTGTCCATTGCCCAAATAGAAGAAAATGATTGGGGGTAGATGGGTGTACGTTCACAGTGAAACTCAAGGCTAGCTGATGGCAATATTGATAGGTACAAAGCGATCGAGGTTAGTTGCGAAGGGATATACACAGAAGTACGGAGTGGATTATTAAAAGACTTTTGCTCCGGTTGCCAAAATTAATATCATCCCCATTCTTATATCGATAGCAGCAAATCAAGATTAGCTTTTGCAACAATTCGACGTCAAGAATGCTTTCCTCAATAGAGATTTAGAAGAAGAAGTCTACATGGAGTTACCCCCTATAGCTAAATGCAAATCCTCGTGTAGAACTGAAGTGTGTGTGTAAATTGAAGAAGACGTTGTATGGTCTGATGGAAACAGTCACCCCAGGCTTGGTTCTGAAGGTTCTCCTCCACAATGAAGGAATTTGGCTATAAGAAAAATAATTCGGATCACACTTTATTTATAAAACACAAAGAGGGGAAGGTAACGGCATTGATTGTATATGTAGATGATATGGTCTTGATAGGAGATGATCCAGGTGAGAAAAAAACATTACAAGAGTACCTGGCAGCAAAATTTGAAATGACAATATTTGGGTCCAACCCAAGTTGGATAAAGTTCATCCAACCTGAGTACGTGGCCTAATTATTTCATGACAAGTGTCCAATAGTATTTTTGGATTTAAGTTGGGTATTACCCAGGTTTGACCCGTTGCTCTAACATTTTGAAGGGACCAAAATAGCCCCATCTTCTCCCCTTTCATTCTCTCTCTACCAAGCTTTCAGAACTTTTTGTTTTTTGGCTTTGCTTTGAGAACTTTCTAGATCGCTAAACCTCCCCTAAATCAGTCGGTAGCTACCCTTCTCTCTATCATCAAGTCGCTTTTTTTCTCTCTAAACCAATCAGAATATCAGTTAGATATAATCGCCCATGACAACTCCTTCACAGCTAGGGTTTTACATGTCCCCCATTTTCTCTCTCCTAACAATTTATAGTGAGTATGTGTGTATGTGTGTTTTATATAATAGAAAGAAAAATTGGGTGTAGAAGAGCATAATGGGTAAGAAAATTTAACCACTCAGAAGCAAGACAGAGTACTTTCCATCACCAACGCCAACGACAGCAGAGTCGGCGCCGACGTCAGCGGCCGGAACTCCCTCGTGCATCGTGGCCGCCAGATCCACCAGACCTTCAACAACATCAACATCACAATCCTCTGTGGCTTCGGCACCATTATCGTCCTCCACGGCACCATCGGCGAACGGTAACATTGATTTGGGTACGATCTATGGGACTAATTTGGTCTTGTTTATAATTGGTGATGAGGTTGTGTTCGGTGGGTGAGTAGTGGTGGTAATTAGTGATCGTTGTGTTTGGGTCTAATTTAGGTGATCTTGATATATATGAGACTAATTTCGTCTTGTTATAATTGGTGATGGGGTTGTGTTTGGTGGTGAGCAATGGTGGTAAATATTGATGGTTGTGTTTGGGTGGTGTCGGTGGTGGCAACGTGCAGAGTTTGAGACGTGGGTAAAGAAGGGTAGGGAGAGAATGAAAGCGGAGAAGATGGGGCTATTTTGGTCCCTTCAAAATGTTAGTGCAACGGGTCAAACCCGGGTAATACCCAACTTAAATCCAAAAATATTATTGGACACTTGTCATAAAATGATTGGGCCACGTACCCAAGTTGGATGAACTTCACCCAACCTGGGTTGAACCCAAGTACTGTCCAATTTGAAATAAAAGATCTCGGTCATCAATTTAAGTACTTTTTAGGAATTGAGGTCTTAAGTTCGAAAGTTAGAATTTCCCTATCATAACGGAAATATGTGTTAGATCTTTTTAACTGAGACTGAAATATTAGCCTGCAAACCTGTAGAGACACCTATAGAGATGAATCACAAGCTTGGAAAGTCTGTGGATCAGGTCCCAACTGACAAGGGACGTTATCAACGGTTAGTCGGGAGACTAATCTATTTGTCACACACAAGGCCGGACATAACCTATGCAGTAAGTGTGTTGAGCCAGTTCATGCATGCACTGAGTGAAGAACATATGAATGCAGTGTATCGGATCTTAAAGTATTTGAAGAGTGCACCAGGAAGAGGATTGCTATTCTCCAAGAATGGGGTCCATGGAATTGAAGGATATACAGATTCTGATTAGGTAGGGAGTCAGACTAATAGGAGGTCCACATCGGGTTACTTTACTTTTGTGGAAGGTAAACTTATCACTTGCAAAAACAGAAGGTGGTTTCTAGATCAAGTGCAGAAGCTGAATTCCGAGGTATGGCTCATGGTGTGTGCGAATTACTATTGGCCAAACTTATATTACAAGTTTGGGGATTGATTATGAGAAGCCGATAAGTGTACATTGTGATAATGTGATACCCCTCGGATCCGAGACACGAGGGAATACAAATTGAATTAAAGAAATAAAAATAATAAATTGAAAGAAACTAGAATAAAAATCCTCAAAACATAATTATTTAAATCCATTAATCCAAAACTCCATAAGTTTACAACTCGGGAATCCATCCATTAAAATCATAATAATAAAAGAAAATAAAACACCATTTAAATAAACCAATCCACAAGTAATTTAAACAACACAAGACAAACAAGCATGTAATCGATTAACAATCAAATAATCAATTAAGTCCAACACACAAGCAACTAAACAATTTAAATAATAATAAATTAAAAATTCAATTAAAACAATAAATTAAATACCAGGACTATCCTTCTGAAATTAGGGGTATTACATTCTTCCCCCTTAATAAAAGGAATTCCGTCCTCGGAATTCGCTCTTACCTTCTTCCAATTTTTTTAGGAAACTGCAAGCGAATGACATTCTCCCCTTCCCAAGTAGACTCAGCCTCATTGTGATGACTCCACTGAACATGCACCATAGGAATAACCCTATTACGAAGGATTTGATCCTTATGGTCGACAATACGACTCGGTAGCTCCAATATGTTGCATCCGGCTGCAACTCTATCTCTTCAACATAGATATGCGGATACCGATCCTCATCTCGCAGAAATTTCCGCAACATGGAAACATGGAACACATTGCGTACGCGATCCAAATTATCCGGCAATGCCAACCTATAAGCTACAACCCCAACTCGATCTGTAATCATGAAAGAACCAACAAACCGTGCTGACAACTTTCCTTTCTTCCCAAAGCGCATTACTCTTCTCATAGGAGACACTTAGAGTAGAACCTGATCCCCAACCTGAAACTCTAAAGCACGAGTACGCCGATCAGCATAACTCTTCTGCCTACTCTGAGCAGTGTACAAACGATCCCGAATAAGAGCTATCTGCTTAGAAGTATCCTTGATGAACTCAGGACCCAAGAATCTGCTCTCTCCAACCTCCATCCAACAAACAGACGATCGACATGGTCGGCCGTATAACGCCTCAAATGGTGCTATTCCAATAGTCTTTTGAAAACTATTGTTATAAGCAAACTCCACAAGCAGTAAGTAATCCTCCCAGTGGCCCTTAAAATCAAGCACACACGACCAAAGCATATCTTCCATAATCTGATTAACCCTCTCAGTCTGTCCATCAGTCTAAGGATGATAAGCAGTGCTAAGGTGCAACTCTGTACCCAAAGCCTGCTGAAAACTCTTCCAGAATCCTGACACAAAGCTCGAATCTCTGTACGATATAATAGACACCGAAATACCATACAGCTTCACAATCTCCAAAACGTAAAGCCTCGCCAACTGCTCCGTAGTGAAGTCAGTGCGAATAGGTAGGAAGTGAGCTGATTTAGTCAACCTATCCACGATGACCCAAATGGAATTATAACCCTTGAAAGAAATGGGTAATCCTTCTACAAAATCCATAGAAATGCTTTCCCATTTCTACTCCGGTATTGATAGTGGGTGTAAAGCTCCTGGCGGCCTCTGATGATCAACTTTAACCATTTGACAGGTACTACACTGAGAAACAAAAAGAGCAATGTCCCGTTTCATACCTGCCCACCAAAACTGCCGCTTCATATCCTGATACATCTTGTCTCCTCCTGGATGAACAGAAAACTCAAAATGATGAGTCTCAGTCATCACGTCCTTCCTCAAATTGTCAGCAGAAGGTACCACGAAGCGTCCCTTGTACCTCAAGCCCCCGTCAGTCCCAACATAGTAAAATGAAATCTCCCCAGAAGCTATCTCTGTAACCTTGTCAATGCACTGCTAATCCGTGAGTTGTGCCTTCAAAACCTTGTGAATGATAAAAGGTGTAACTACCATACAAGCCATAAACGTATTTGACAATTCATCCACCTTCTTCAACGCATTCCACTCAGTAGTGAATAGAGCAGAAAGATTACCAACAGGTCGGCGACTGAGTGCATCCGCCACCACATTCGTTTTCCCTGGATGATACTATATAAAAAAGTGATAGTCTTTTACAAACTCCAACCATCTGTGTTGTCTTATATTCAGTTCCCGCTGAGTAAACAAATACTGCATACTCTTGTGATCATTAAATAACCTGAAGGACTCACCCAATAGATAATGCCTCCAAATATGTAAAGCAAAGACCACAGCTGCCAACTCCAAATCATGCGTTGGATAATTAAGCTCACGAGGCTTAAGCTTCCGAGATCTATAAGAAATCGGTCGCTCCTCCTGCATCAAAACACATCCAAGACCCTGCAAAGAAACATCCGTGTAAACCAGATACTCTATTCCGCTCTGTGGAATAGACAAAACTGGTGCAGAAGTCAACTTAGTCTTCAGCTCATCAAAGCTTTCTGACAATGTTCATCCCACACAAACCGCACACCCTTCTTAGTCAGATGAGTGAGTAGTCCCGCTATCTTTGAGAACCCTTGGATGAACCTCCTGTAATATCTCGCCAAACCGAGGAAACTCCATATCTCATTAGGTGAAGTAGGCTGTCCCCACTCAACCACCACTAAAACCTTGGCCGGTTCCACCGCTATCCCCTTTTCTGACACCACGTGACCCAGAAACTTCACTTCTCGCTGCCAAAATTCACACTTCTCGAACTTGGCATACAACCGGTGTTCACGAAGCGTCTGCAACACAATCCGAAGATGTCTAGCATGATTGCCCTCCGACTTAGAATAAATCCAAAATGTCATCTGTGAAGACAATGACAAATTGATCTAAATAAGCCTTGAAGACTCTGTTTATTAAATCCATGAACACTGTTGGTGCGTTAGTCATCCCAAACGGCATGACACAAAACTCATAAGAACCATATCTCGTGAGAAACGCTGTCTTAGGGACATCCTGCTCCTTAACTCTCAACTGATGATACCCAGAACGCAGATCAATCTTGGAGAAGTCTATGGCTCCCCTTAACTGATCAAATAAGTCATCAATCCTGGGCAAATGATACTTGTTACGAATCATAACCTTGTTCAACTCCCTGTAATCTATACACATGCGAAGCGAACCATCCTTCTTCTTCACAAACAGAACCGGTGTTCCCCGGGGTGAAGTACTCCTGCGAATGAAACCCTGGCTAAGTAGCTGCTGAATCTGATCCCTCAACTCGCGCATTTTCACTGGTGCCATCCTATAGGGTGCCCTAGCAATAGGCATGGTGCCTATAGCTAAGTCTATCACAAATTCGATCTCGCGACTTGGTGGCAACCCTGGAATTTCCTGAAATACATCCGGGAAATCCTATACAATTGGTATGTTATCCAATGATAGTCCCCTCCTCCGTTTCCTCCTCCACATGGAACAAATAAGTGCTAGTGACCCCGCTAGAACGCGGCATAGCTACGACATACATGTCCTGACCAGGTATAGTAAACACAATAGACCTATCAAAACAATTAACTTGGGCATGGTAGTGAGACAATCAATCCATCCCAGGTATCACATCACAAGTGTGCATGTCCAGGACTAATAGATTGGCTAGGAATCTGAGTCTGCCAATATCTAGTGTCATAGGCACATTACCCTCAAGTAAAATGATAATATTGCCTAAAGGTATGAAAACACCATAAGGTCTATCGTATACCTGTGTCACCAATTTAAACTATCCAAATCAACAATATTGAATACTCCGTAGAGCAAAACATATAACATATACAACATACTCCGAAATCTACTCATAGTTAGAATGTCATTCTATTTTGAGAATTCTTCCTTTAATATCAAATTTATCATATTGATTTAAACAAGTTCTTTTATAACTCGTTAGCAATCATCACGTCTCAACCTAACGTACCAGTTAGCAACTATCAATTTGCTTATCAAACCAAATCACTCTACTGTGATATTCCTTTATCATCGCATCATACACAATCCAATATAGTCTAATAAAACCATATGTGTATATATCTCAAAAATGCTATCACAAAACACAGTAATGATAGCCAAAACCGCTAGTTCACTTTATTAAGAATTTTTCCAAACCATAAATTGTCAAACGAATTGTAACACCCCCACATTTTCCACGCATAAGTTGATCAAGCTTATACACGAAAAACGAGGGATATCAAAAACAATTGGCAATATACAAGCATGGAATACAAAATGATGGAAATAAAAGAATTTAGACAGGAAAGAAACATTAAATAATACAACATCCATCCATCCTTTATTTAATACAGTACTTCATTACAACTTGGAAATCCTACGTCAGGGATCCCTAAATATAACCCTGAGAGTTCAACGTCAAAAGTAAATAAAAACTGAAACTGAAATACTACATAAAACTTCTACCCTGCACTGGATCGTAGGAGTAGATGAGTTCGGATGATGGTCCCACACTGCTAACCTCAGCCTTGAAACGGATACTGACCGTATCCTGAAATAACAACAATGGTGGGTCAACCCCACGAGCAAGTCCTCTCTACTATGACCCAAATCAGAGAATCAAATAAATTAATCATTATGAATCGGATGAATGCTATATCTGTATACATCCTACGGGAACTATCCGATGTATAACATGACCTCAACCAGAATAGACGGTGATCACTTAGACTCACACTAGGTGGTCAAGTGTCGCCTTTCCCTACCCGGGAAATCAGCTATTATACATGGTGTACGGTACTGACAACACAGACTATAACGAACTACACAGTGATAACACCTCGCAAAGTACTGATGAATATACTGAGCATATAAATTAGGCAACACATGCCAACAATATTAATAAA